CTCCAAAGCATAAATTATCATAAACAGTAAGCTTGACTATCACATGATTAGGCAGCAAGAGGGTGTCATGTGATTGCCTGTGGGCGGCTCCTCGGGGCGGCCACCAGAGGAAATGTGTCAAAATGGCGATGCTATTGACGGAAGAGCTATGCAGCTACACCTTTGTGAATAAGCTATTTTAGAGTCCCGTGCAGGACTGACTTCATGAAATATTTTTTCTAAATATTTTGGGTAGAAATTCTATTTGCAGATACAATGGTTTGAATGTCTGTGCCACCCCCCATGTGCTGGTGTCGGGGGTGGGTCTCTGTGACATGCTTAGGTCCTGAGGGTGGCGCCCCCAGGAATGGGATCAGCGCTCTTCTTCACAGAGTTGCCTGGTCCCTTCCAGCAGGGAGGCCACAGGAGGAGGCACAGCAGCTGTGCAGGAGGAGCCCCTCACAGAACAGGACCATCCTGGAGGCTTGTTCATGGTCCCCCCGGCCTCCAGGCTGCAAGAGAGACATTTCTGCTGTAGATAAGCCACCGTGTGCAGCATTGTGACTGCAGCCCAAACTGACTAGGATCTGAAATACACTATGAAACGCACAGGAAGCAAGCTGTGCTTTGTGAATGAGTTTAGATGGTAAAAACCGGCATTGTTTTACAGGTTCTAAAAAGCAACAATAAGCTTCCTATTCTGGTTTCAACTTTATACGTAATCTAATGAGCCCAAGAGTAGTATTTAACTTAAATATACTTCAGTTAGAAGCTTATTGGGATTCAGATGTCAGAAAACTTAGTTTAAAATGTTTGGTCCATGAAATTTGTTATGGAAGATATTTCTATCTCTTTTTATGATACAAGACCCTAATAAAGAAAAAATGAATTGAAAGATTCAGTTGTCCAGTGTGAATATATGAGGAGGAAGGTCTTTATATGAGTGAGGCAGTGGGAAGCATGTCTGCAGGACAGAATGGAGACCATCATAGTGAATTCAAATAACAAACTAAACAGAAATCAATCCATGCGGAAAGCCAGCTTTCTGAGCCGGTGTCTTTAATAAGTGACCAGGGTGTCCTTGAGGTTCCTTGGGATGCTCGTCCAGTGATGGTCCCACTTGCCGAAGCCTGGAACGATCCCATTGTAATGCAGACTGTCTCTCACCATCTTATCCTGGAAAGAGAGGGCAATTAAAGATCATTAACCCTGTCACCCCTAAACCTTAAAACTTATAATTCCATAAATGGCAGGAATTCCATAGAAAAACAAAAAAAGGAATATGTCTTAAAACTTGTAAAGATAGAATTTTTCACCTAAGCAAAATATATAGAAGATATGATTTATACACATTTCTATTTTTTTAAAATAAATCTTTATTGTTCAGATTATTACAGTCGTTCCCCCTTTTTCCCCCCATAGCTCCCCTCCACCCAGTTCCCCTCCCACCCTCTACCCTTACCCCCCACTGTCCTCATCCATAGGTGTACGCTTTTTGTTGCCAGGTAATACACATGGAAAATGTAGCTATTTCCATCTACGACGTGTCCCTGTGTTCGGCCTCACAGGGACTGTCTCAGCCCCACAGGGGCCATCTCAGCCGCACAGGGGCCGGCGCAGCCTCACAGGAGGCGCCGCATCCCACGTTGGGGGTAAAGGTGCGAGTCAGAAGCTTCTCTCACTGTCTCTCCTGCTGTTCCCTTGCGTATCACCAATGCTGGAAGTTTCTGAGAGCAGTCGGCAGGTGCTGGACATCATACTTTAACTGGTCAACACGAAGTTCGGCATTCTGTCTTTTGTTGGGTGGCTCCTTGCTGGACAAAATCTCCAGGCTTTCTTGCTGGCTGAATATCTGGTATGCTTGCTTGGATTTCGTTTTCTACTAAGTGCACAGACAGCTTGTCTGCCGTCTCCTGGTGTCCCATGTGAGACTGGATCTGGTGGACCTGTTTGTGCGTTTGCTGGTACAGCGGTTCCGTGTTGCTGGCCCAGCCGGTCCGGTTCTGGCTTCCTTCAAACCTGATTCAGCTTCTTCAGTGTGTCCCTTATGGGTGTGAGGAGTTGAAGTCTGCAGCTTGTTGGGTACACATTTTTATTTTTTAAAAACTTCAAAAATTCATATCTATGAATTATTTCTCAATGGAGCTAAGTTTTTTGACATTTCAGAAACAAGGATGTGAGGAGAAATTGTAACTGAATTTATAGAGCATGTTTTTCCAGTTCCATATTCAATTCAGCACTATTTGCTCTGTGTGTTTAACACTACGCTGTTTGCAAGAACCTTAAAGTGCACTTTAGGTGAGAGGGAGGCATGTGAACGACGCCTTTCATGGCAGTTCGGACGGACCCGAGCCCTGACTGTCCGCCTGTCCTGGGCGGGCCGTCCGCACAGCTGTACGACACTCTCCGGGTGGGAAGCTGGGATGTGAGGATCTCCGAGGAACGAGGGGGACACAGGGCCGCCCACATGGGATCTGTGGGGAAGCATGACGCTCAGGAAGGAACCCTGGGGAGGGCGAGGCACACACAGAAGCTCTGACCCCAGAGGGTCTGACCAGGGGCAGGAGTGGCAGGGACATCACTGTCGCAGGGAACAAATCAGCCAGCACAGTCACCAAACGTGGCCTCCAGGAACGTGACCCAGGGGAGCCAGAAAGCGTGCAGGTGGAATCCAGGACCCGTTTGGTTATTCTGAGCAATGCTGAGAAGTGATCATTTCCCCAAAATTTCTACTCTTTACTCCATCTTCCATCCTAGTGCTGAGTGTGAGCCCCTCTCCAGGCCTGTGCGGGGCCACCCATCCTCGCTGTGCACCCCGAGCGCCCAGAAAGCCAGGCCTCCCAGGCCGGAGTGAGGTCAGGTGTGCAGGTGCGCGGCCTCCCGGTCAGGAAGCACTCGTGTGTATGCCTACTGTGTGCCTCTCGTCTGAGGGCTCGCTCAGAGGCATTGCAGCGGGAGTTTGACCTTGAAATTGGCTGCGATGGAAATGTTCTCACCATGAAAACTGGCAAATGCTACGAGCGAAGGCTGTTTGTGTGGGGAGGGACAGCAGCTCATTAAACACTGACTAACACGATTGGGCAAGGCTCTGTAATGTCCATACATTTCCCAATGGGTTCTCATTCCAGTTTTTATGAATCATTTTTTGAAAGAGCTGTTCCGAGTACCTGGCACGCTCAGGCTGCCGCTGGAGAGCAGGATCAGGAAGCTCACGGTTTCTTCCGTTGCTCCTGTGTGGTGTCTACAGACAGGAAATGTGGGTGCCAGCCCCACAAGACTTTTCAACATGCCCAGGCGCCCATCTTCCGACGCAGCCACACAGGACGAGGGACTTGCGGTGCAGGTCCGTGGCGACTCTGGTGCCGGAACAGGCGTCCTGCAGGACCAGTCAGATGCCAGGCGACAGGGCTTGCCAACAACAGCCTCTGTGGCAGGTGCTTGCACAGGTGGCAGATGGTCCAGATGTTAGACCTGGACACAAGCGAGGAGCTGCAGGTCCAGGTCATGAGGCTCCCGCAATAACGCCGACAAATCTGAGTCTCTTACAACCAGCCAGGAGCTCACGAATCACTTTCTGAGTCAGTGTCTGATCACAGGAAATAATTAAAGAAACAAGAGCTTGAGTGAAGGCCCTCGAGGCCCCACGGTTTCCAGGGATTCCCCCATAAAATCGGGGTGACCTCAACAAAGTCATGGCACCTCCCTGCTGGGCCATGTCAGCGAGAAAACAGCTCCTGGCGGTATGTGCACCTTCCTGCCTTCTTTCTTCGTCGTCGCTGAGTCCCCGTGAGAGACAGGCCCGTGCCTGTCAGTCTCTCTCCCATGTGGGAATGACAGTCTCGTCATGAAACATGCAATAGCCATGATTCAGGCGAAAGTGTTTCAGACAAGAGAGAACCTTAAGACGTTCTGTAGGGCAGGCCATCTTGGCAGGAGCAAAACTCTTATAAAGTCACATGCAAAATTTTAAAACCAGATTTGATTTCTTTTAAGGGAAATTAGAAAATATGAAAATAGTATTTACTTTTTAATGTTTGTATGGCATTAAGGAGATGGCCACATTTTATTTTAGAAAGAGCTAGGATTTAAAAGGAAAATGCTATGTATTTCAACAACAGGCGTAGTCTTAGTTGTTTAGTAAGTTTTAATATTTGGAGCAAAGCAGAGCCCTGCGGGAGCTGAACCATGGTCATTGGGGGATGAATGGGGGCTGCCCAGGAGAGCAGACGCCTTCTGCAAGGATGTCTCAAGGCCATGGGAGGGGTGGACGCCTTCTGCAAGGCCTTGGGAGGGGTGGACGCCTTCTGCAAGGTGCCTCCAGGCCCTGGGAAGAGTGGACGCCTTCGGCAAGGCCCTGGGAGGGGTGGACGCCTTCTGCAAGGTGCCTCCGGGCCCTGGGAGGGGTGGACGCCTTCTGCAAGGTGCCTCCAGGCCCTGGGAGGGGTGGACGCCTTCTGCAAGGTGCCTCCAGGCCTTGGGAGGGGTGTTTGACATGGGAATCCACCCCCCCGCTCTGTTTTGCTGCTCTTTCCTGAACAGAGAGGTAAGCATTCGGGGTTCTCCCGTGTCCCCACCTGCTCCCTGGCCCGGGATAAGCACAGTCCATGGCCCCTGCAAGGGCGGCCCTGGAGGCTCAGCCCAGCCTGCCAGGAGCTCCTCGGAAAACCAATACCCTCGTCTGGTGTGTGAGAGGCATTGGAGTGGGCTTGTTTTAAAGTAAGTGTCCTGCTTAACATCTCTGCCTGCCACTCGCACTTTCCATTGGGCTGCGGCGTCTCAGACCACATCCTGCCACATCAGCCAGGACGGCAAACGGAGGGGCCCTAACGGCTGCCTGGTCATCACGCTGGGGTTTTCCTCCGGATCCTGGGACTGTATCTCAGCGGAGCCACCCTTTCCTGCTGCCCCTTTTTGTTTCTAAACACACTCACAGGCACAGGAGGAGATGGCCACAGGGTCCCGCCCTCGGCATCCTGGAGGAGGCGCTGAACTAGCCATGGAGGAGGCCGCAGGAAGGGAACAGTGAGGAGCTCCCTGGAGGCGGTCAGCCTCCCTCCTCCCCCCGCTGAGAGCCCGCAGTGGGTGCCGTCTCCATCCTCACGTCCTCTGCTCACAGGTCACAGGAGAGGGACAGGGCAGTCCGCGCCCACCACACCCCACGGCCTTGGCAGAGCTCCTTCCACTGCACAGAGCTCCCTGGACCAGAAACTGGGCAAAGACAGGTTCCGTTCACTCTGTGTGACCTGGACAAGGCGCTCCATCTGGCCAGTCCTCACCTTCCGCCTCCACAAAATAAGGAAAGCAGCCACCACAGGTAACGGGCAAAGGACGCGACACGCATAAGTGGCTGAGCACAGGCGCCTGCTTCATGCACACACTTCCCTCTCACTTTAGAGGGAAAACGTGGAGTCACCACAAACTGATTCCGCGTGTCTCCTACGAGCCAGGGCTCAGCTATGAGGAACTAAGAATCTATTTTTCAGTAGGAATGTTTTCTTTAACGTCATTTACTGGAATTACTTTGTTTTCCTTGATAGCCATGCCCTGAGAAGACTATCACCAGTTTAATTAACTCGTCCACCAGGGTCGGCGTGGTTCACGCTCCTGCACATTTTGTTGTCATATATAGTAACATACCTTGAAACTTTTCCATTCCTTTCGTAGTTCTTTTTGCAAATACTTATATCTGACATCCTCCTGCAAGAAAATGTAAGAGTAGGTGATTAAATGAACCAACAAGTATCCAGCTAGGTCGAATCCTGTACAGGGACCTAAATCACTCCCCTAATGGCCAGCACACCTGGACAGTGACCCCAGGGCGGGGGAGAGTCGCCCAGAGCTGCTTGCTGGCAGTGAGGGCGGTTCCCTTGTGCAGCAGCACAGCACATAGGCAGGCGGCTCGGGTCTCCCAGGCAAGCAGGGTCTTGAAACACAGTCCTAGGGCAGCTTTTAAGAAAAATCATCAGGTATGTAAATAATTTAGTTACACTTATACACACACAGTCTTTCCAGGTTTTCATCCATCTTAATAACAGTTCCATTTTGTAAAATAAAGAGAGATTTCTCTGGGACTGTGTCATTTAGCCGTCCATCCACTTGTTTTCTGTGTATGTCATCTGTTTGTTGTTATGTATTTAAATTCAAATTGTGAACATGATGAGTGAATACAGGTTTACCTATATGTTAAATAAATGTTTATAGATATAAAAAATTAAAACCAACAACTATCTTACTATTGTCCCCACAGCACTTTTAGTTATCCCGTGTAGAAGGGTATTTTCACACGTTAGGACAGGGTTAAACACATGGACAGAAACACAGATTGCTTATGCAGAAAAGACTGCACCACTTAGTGTTCCAACTATCCCTCTCGGAACAGGTTATAGGACCTTCCAGCCCATGTATGATCAAAACAATCAAATGATAGCGGATCTGATTTCATACATGATGACATAGGATGAGGATGTTTAAGTCATGTAATGTACAACAGCTCATTTTTCTTTTCCAATGTGGACTTTGACATCAAATAGTAAGTTTCCAGTTGTTCTATATGATTAACAATAAGTTGTTACAGTTAATAAAACAATCAAATAAACAAATTAATAGAGAGTACGTCACAAGGATTTTTTATTTTCATGGAACACCTATGAGTCACACTGCACTGGGCATCGCCAGGACCGCAGTAATTCAGCAGCACACGGGGTTCTTATCTTGTCCATCACTTATGTTTTTATTCAGATTCAGAAACATCAATGTACAGTGATTCCTGGGGGATGAACGCTGTGGAACATCACTGTGTTTTTATCGGTGGGTGTTGAGAACCATGCCTGGGAAACCACGCCTCCCTGTGTGCCGAAAACCTCAGGAAGAAACAGTGCCGCCGCTTTGCTGGCATTGCCCTCGCTCAAGGGGAGCCCGCCGAGAGCCTCACACGTGTCCCAGCCACTGGCCCGCTGCCTGCCACTCCGAATGAAACATCTTTCAACAGAACAGAAAGCAGATGTTCGACGTTAGTGTAGCCGATGTCCAGGGGACACACTGGCCACATGCAGGAGTGAAGGCCTCACCCTCCCCTCTGCGTAGGAAGTGCGTTGGAGTCCGATTTCCCTGTGGCTTCATTTGGGTTTGTAAGGGCAGCGTGTACAGTGCTCCAATCTCCACACTGTAGCCAAAACTACTTTCCTTTTGAAAGTAATTGTAATGATCCGTTCTATTTTTTTAAACCATAGCTAATTGTATTCTTTTCAAACTATCTGAATATTTAAAAGCCTAAGTGACCGTTGGACTGTTCAACTGGTAGCTATGATGTGCACTGACCACCAGGGGGCAGATACCCAATGAACAGGCATGGAAACATGGAACAGACTGATGAATGTCAGAGGGAAAGGGAGCGGGGGAGAGCAGGAAGAGATTATGAAAAGATCTCCTATGCATACTAGAGGCCCAGTGCACAGATCCATGCACAGCTGGGTTCCCTCGGCCTGGCCTGTGGGGATCAGGCTGAATCAGTGCACCAGGCCTCCAACATCCCCCGAGGGGTCCCAGATTGCAAGAGGGAACAGGCCAGGCCAGTGGACCCCAAATCTGTGCACCAGGCCTCTAATCCTTCCTATATAATAAAGAGCTAATATGCTAATTAGACCAGATAGTGGAACGACCTTCCGGAATGACCAGTGGGTGGGGTCAGAGGGGGCGCAGGGCTGCAGGGCTGCAGGGCTGCAAGGCAGCCAGGGCCTCAAGGGCTGAGGCAGCTGGGGCTGCAAAGGCCTACTCTGGCACAAATTTCGTGCATCAGGCCTCTAGTTTCTACATAAGAGAACAGAATAAAAGATAGTAACATGCAAAGGTAATTTATCTGCACCTTCACAAGAATTCCTTAAATTAACCTCTTTTGTCTGAAAATGTCAAGTTGCTTCCTCCATCATCCATTATCACCCTCCTCAGACACCAGCCTCTCGGTGTGGGCTGCAGGGACACCTGCCACCTCACAGCGGTTTCCTCCCCAGGGACCGTGAGGCGCTGGACTAGCTCACACTGTCCTGGGTGCCTAGGGTCCAGGAGACTGCAAGTGCTCCTTCACTGTGTGCTGACCAAGAGAAAGAGGGATGCAGTCTACTCATTTCCTGCCTTCCTTCGGCCTTCTTTCTTCTTTGGAGGGGAGGAGGGAAAGGGGCCACTCTCATAGTCGTGCCAAGGGACCTTGACTTTGATAGATAGGCATTAAACATCAGTCGCCTGAATTAAGGTTCCACCCTAACTAACCCATTTATTTTTAAAAATATATCTTTATTGCTTTCAGAGAGGAAGGGAGCGGGAGAGAGAAATATCCATGATGAGAAAGAATCATTGATCAGCTACCTCCTGCACACTCCACACTGCGCAACCCAGGCATGTGCTCTTGCCTGGGAGGGAATCCAACCATGACCTCCTGGTTCATAGGTCAATGCTCAACCACTGAGCAACACCAGCAGGATAGCTAATCCCTTTATAAGTGATATTTCTGCCAACATTATTTTTAATTTTAATAAAATTCCATACAATAAAGGTACTTCTTTTACATTTTCTGTCTCATGACCTTCGACAATTGTATGCACCTGTAACCATCACCCAAAACATGATAAAAAAAATTATCACCCCAGAGCCCGGCTTGTGTGGCTCAGCAGTTGAGTGTCGACCCATGAATCAGGAGGTCACAGTTGAATTCCTGCTCAGGGCACATGCCCAGGTTGCAGGCTTGATCCCCAGTAGGGGGCATGCAGGAGGCAGTCGATCAATGATTACCTCTCATCATTGATGTTCTCTCTCTCTCCCTCTACCCCCCTCTCTCTGAAATCAATAAAAATATATAAGAAATTATTCCCCAGAAAGTTCCCTCATAGCCTTTCCGTCACACCCCTTCCCAGAAACAATCACGTCCTGACTTCTATCACTGTAGCTTCTTTTTAACTAGTATTTTACTAAGTGAAATTATACAATATGTCTTTTTTTGTTTCTAGTTTTGTTCCCTTTGCATATCTGCAAGGTTCTTCGTGGAGTCCTATGTAACAGTTTGTTACTTTTTATAGCTGGGTAGTATGCTATTGAATTAACGAAGCACACGATGCTGATTCATGTTCCTGTTGATGAATATTTGTGTTTTTCAATTTTCTTAATTAAGACTTAGGCTGCTATGAACATTCTTGTAAACTATTTGTGGATTCGGTTCTTTTGACTTTGGTGGCAGATGCTGGGTCCTGGGGTAAGTGTATGTCAAACTATAGGAGACGGGCACAGGTCTCCCCAAGCCAGCGGTGCATTCTACACTGACACTCACAATAGACAGTCCTTCCAGCTGCCCCTACCCTGCCAAATGCCACCCATGACAACAAGGTCATAAAAATATTCTGTGTTTTCTTCTAGAAGATTTATGGCTCTGGGTTTTATGTTTAAGCATTGGATCTGTCTTAGCTTTTTGTGTTTTCTTTGTGTGTGTGTGTGGGGGGGGGGGCAGTGATCAATAAGCACAATGAAAAGTGTTCAATATCTTTAATCATTAAAGAAATCCAGTTTAAAGCTACAATTGGAAACAATTTCATGTACAATAAAATGGCTAAAATTTTAAAGTGAAAAAATAAAATATAACAAGATTTCCATGGAAAAAAATGAATCTCAACCCCTATCCTCACTTTCTATCAAAATAAATAATGGCAGTATCTTTTCCATTGATTTCTGGAGAGTTCAGAAGGGAGGGAGGGAGGGGAGAGAGGGAGAGGGACATTAAACCAGCACGGCTGCGGTTCGGGTCTTATTGGGGGTTGATGTGCACCAGTAAATGGACCCTTCAGTCCAGTGACAGTTTTTAAATGACCCTTAGAAGACCGGGCAAGTTTATGCTGTTAGAAATGGAGGCTGTGAGGACAATACGTTGCCTTGTTTCTTCTAGGTGCCATGGGAATGGAAATGGAGAGCTGGGTCCCTGCGAACTGGAAAAATAGAGCAAAAAGTAAGATGTGGACATGACTTCGGTTTTGTACACCTGCCCACTAGGACAGAAATGCCAAGCCACACCTCCACTCGGAACTGTGTGCCCAGGGAGCTTTCTCCAGTTTGCAAGTGTTCCTGCTGGACTTGCTCCTGTATCTCATGTCACAAGCATCAGCTGAGAGACACACACTTTTTAGATGGAGCGAATACCCACGAGAGGGATGCGGTTGGATGGGGATGGAAGAACACAAGTGTTGCGAGCAGAGCAGAAGGATACTGTGTGGGCTAGAAAACACACGGTGTCTGATAAAGATAACTAGAGGCCCGGCGCAAAAAAATTGTGCACTGGGGGGGGGGGGTCCCTCAGCCCAGCCTGTGCCCTCTCGCAGTCTGGGACCCCTCAGGGGATGTCCACCTGCTGGGTTAGGCCCACTCCCTGGGGGATCAGGCCTAAGCTGTCAGTCAGACATCCCTCTGGCAGCCCAGGAGCCCTTGGGGGATGTCCACTTGCCAGCGGGGAGCAGGCCTAAGCTGCAGTCGGACATCCTTAGCACTGCTGAGGAGGCGGGAGAGGCTCCCACCACCACCGCTGTACTGGCAGCCGTCAGCCTGGCTTGTGGCTGAGCAGTGCTCCACCTCTGGGAGTGCACTGACCACCAGGGTGCAGCTCCTGCATTGAGCATCTGGCCCCTGGTGGTCAGTGTGTGTCATAATGACCAGTTATTCCCAGTTGTTCTGCTGTTAGGGTCAATTTGCATATTACCCTTTTATTATATAGAATAGAGGCCTGGTGCATGAATGGGGGCTGGCTGGTTTGCCCTGAAGGGTGTCCCAGATCAGGGTGGGGGTCCTGCTGGGGTGCCTGTCCAGCCTGGGTGAGGGGCTGAGAGCCATTTTCAGACTGGCCACACCCCCTTCAGGGTGGGGGTAGGGGCTGATTGCTGTTTTCAGGCTGGCCACAGCCCCTTCAGGGTGGGGGTCCCCACTGGGGTGCCTGGCCAGCCTGGTTGAGGGACTGAGGGCTGTTTTCAGGCTGGCCAAGCCCCCCAATGGGGACCCTCACCCCATGAGGGTGTGGTCATCCTGGGTGAGGGGCTGATGGCTGTTTGTAGGCTGGCCACAGCCCCCAGCCACCCAATCTCCCAGCGGTGGCCGTCTGGAAGCAGGTATCTGGGATTTATTTGTCTTCTATAATTGAAACTTTGTTGCCTTGAGTGGAGCACACAGACGCTGGAAGGAAGCTTGGCTTCCTCCATTGCCGGGGCAACCAAGCCTCTGGCTTGCTCCAGCTCCATGGCTCCTGGCCGCCATCTTGGTTGGATTAATTTGCATATATTTGCTCTGATTGGCTGGTGGGCGTGGCTTGGGGTGTAGTGAAGGTATAGTCAATTAGCATCTTTGTCTTTTATTAATGTAGATGGCAATCTCATATATACAAATGTTAGGCACAAAGAATACCTTCCTCCAAAGGAATATTCGCCAGCCAGTGAATGCTGATGCTCAGTGGCTCTGACTTCTCACTGAGTGTGGCTGCCTTCCGTAGGGATCTCAGAGCAAAGCAGTTCCACCAGGAGGGGGAGCCCAGGCAGGGGCGGCTCAGAGAAATGGGCCTGGGCATGTGGCGGAGGAGCCAGGAGCACCCGCCTCTACTCCCAATTCATCGGGAGTTGGAAATGCAAGCAGGTGTGACATGGATAAAACAGTCAATATGCTGTTTCCTTCCAATTCTTCTAATGTTCTTTTTAAAATTCGTCTGGAAAATTAGTGCAACATTGTTAGTAATTTCTGAAATCCTGTCACTGTTTTCTTATCAATAATTTACTAATTTAGATATTTCAAAGGCATATTTCCAATGATTTACAACATTTATTTTTAACTTTAAATTTTTCTGTTTCTTAGGTCTTTCAACATGACTTTTTCTCACTTGGATTTTTTTTTATGTCTTCATTTTTTAATGTTTTTGTTCCAAAATATTTTATTTTCAACTCATATTTGAAGCTAGTTTGGAACTGGAAGATGGAAGCATGCATCTGATCGCCGAGTGACACGTGTGTGTGATTTCACACCAATCCCCAGCATCCATGCTTTGTGTTAAGAGGAGAACATATTTGGGGACAAGGGGACCTTAGTTCTTATTTGTTATTTTCTATATGTTCCATGTTTCAAGCATATGAGAAAAGATTTTGGGAAAAGGAACTGCCAAGAGTAAAAGGAAATATATAAAGATGACATTTTCAACCCCAAATGATTTCAAATCCATTTTTTTCATCCTAAAATACTTTCTAAGAAACTTGATTAAACAGTAGTTGAGCTGTATCCAATTAGTTATGCTACATATTTTCTTTATTTACTAAAATCAAAATAGAAATGCATCTTATGATAGAGGTTTCAAAAGTGTTTGAGTAGCCCCGGCTGGTTGGGCTCGGTGGAGAGGCTCTGCCTGAGGCTGAAGGGTCTCAGGTTCCATTGCCCTCATGGGTGGTGGGCTCTATCCCCACTAGGGGGCGAGCAGGAGGCAGCCTATCAATGATTCTCTCTCATCATTGCTGTTTCTAGCTATTTCTCCCTTCCTCTTTGAAATCAATAAAAAATATATTTTTAAAAAAGTGTTCGAGTATAAGAAGTAACAATGAAATTGGTCCTGCCACCCCCAGGCTCACGGCCCACCTGGGAGGGAAGGGCTGGCAGACACGGGTGGGCCCAGGGAGATGCTGGCTGGTTCTGAGAACAGAACGGGTCCCAGAGATGCACAGGCAAATGAACTGCTCATAAGTCACCAAGAGGACTTTGAGAGAGAGCGGCCATCACACCCAGCCGACGCTGATTCTCAGGAGAACGTGGACTATCAGGAAACGCCGCTTCGCTGTTCGCAGCCAGAACTGAAACAGGATGTGTTATTTACACTGGGACACACACCGCGGTTGCAAGAATTTTCCTGTTCGAGCTTTGATATTTCTGTGTAAAAACCAGTTAACTTTTAAAATTCTGTCAGCGACCTGTCCCCTGGATCAGGCGGCCTTGAGCTCACCTCCGCTACCCCAGTGTAACGGGAGGGGCGGGAGAGGCAGACAGGTGGCGTGAAGCAGCGTGGTTTTAGCAGAAGGAAGGTCGCTCCCGGGACGTGACGGTGAGGGAAGGTAGATGATGTGCCCGGGGCAGAGGCAGGATGGACCCAGGAGGGAGCTGAGCCTGCAGCGGTGAGCAGGCTGCAGGGCGCTTCCATGCTGGGATCTGAAAGGCCGCCTCCTGCCTGGGCTGCGGAGACCAGAGCACAGCACAGGCCCGAGGCGGGAGAGGAGACGGGCGTTCGGGAAGGCCTCGCCGCTTGGCATTGGTAGGGCACGAAGCAAAGAAGAGCAGGAGAGGCCTGAAGCCAGCGGGCCACACGTGGGCCTGTCTCAGTCCGCCCCTCTGCGCTGACCTGTGGCCATGGGCCCAATGAGTGAGTTTCAGTCTGGGGAGGGAGTTAGAGGCTGTGCCCCTTGCATTTGTCCGAGACTAAGTCACCTGCGGTCATGGGGCGAAGGTGACCTGTAAGCAACAGGACGCAGAGTCCCTCGGCCCAGCGCCCTGGCAGAGAGGTTCCGAGAGCCACGTTCAGGAGAGTCAGTGCATGGGAGTCAGGGCGTGGGAGCCAGTGCGTGGGAGTCAGTGCGTGGGAGTCAGTGCGTGGGAGTCAGTGCGTGGGAGTCAGTGCGTGGGAGTCATTGCATGAGAGTCAGTGCGTGGGAGTCATTGCATGAGAGTCAGTGCGTGAGAGTCAGGGTGTTAGAGCCAGAGTGTGGGAGTCAGTGCGTGGGAGTCAGTGCGTGGGAGTCAGTGCGTGAGAGTCAGTGCGTGGGAGTCAGTGCGTGGGAGTCAGTGCGTGGGAGTCAGTGCGTGGGAGTCAGTGCGTGGGAGTCAGTGCGTGGGAGTCAGTGCGTGGGAGTCATTGCATGAGAGTCAGTGCGTGAGAGTCAGGGTGTTAGAGCCAGAGTGTGGGAGTCAGTGCGTGAGAGTCAGTGCGTGGGAGTCAGGGCGTGGGAGCCAGTGTGTGGGAGTCATTGCATGAGAGTCAGTGCGTGGGAGTCAGTGCGTGGGAGTCAGTGCGTGGGAGTCATTGCATGAGAGTCAGTGCGTGAGAGTCAGGGTGTTAGAGCCAGAGTGTGGGAGTCAGTGCGTGAGAGTCAGTGCGTGGGAGTCAGGGCGTGGGAGCCAGTGCGTGGGAGTCATTGCATGAGAGTCAGTGCGTGGGAGTCAGTGCGTGGGAGTCAGTGCGTGAGAGTCAGTGCGTGGGAGTCAGTGCGTGAGAGTCAGTGCGTGGGAGTCAGTGCGTGGGAGTCATTGCATGAGAGTCAGTGCGTGGGAGTCAGTGCGTGGGAGTCAGTGCGTGGGAGTCAGTGCGTGAGAGTCAGTGCGTGAGAGTCAGGGTGTTAGAGCCAGAGTGTGGGAGTCAGTGCGTGAGAGTCAGTGCGTGGGAGTCAGGGCGTGGGAGCCAGTGTGTGGGAGTCAGTGCGTGGGAGCCAGGGCGTGGGAGCCAGTGCGTGGGAGCCAGTGCGTGGGAGCCAGTGCGTGGGAGTCAGTGCGTGGGAGTCAGGGCGTGGGAGCCAGTGTGTGGGAGTCATTGCATGAGAGTCAGTGCGTGGGAGTCAGTGCGTGTGAGCCAGGGCGTGGGAGCCAGTGTGTGGGAGTCAGTGCGTGGGAGTCAGTGCATGAGAGTCAGTGCGTGAGAGTCAGGGTGTTAGAGCCAGAGTGTGGGAGTCAGTGCGTGGGAGTCAGTGCGTGGGAGTCAGGGCCTGAGAGCCAGTGCGTGGGAGTCAGTGCGTGAGAGTCAGGGCCTGAGAGCCAGTGCGTGGGAGTCAGTGCGTGGGAGCCAGTGAGTGGGAGTCAGTGCGTGGGAGCCAGTGCATGGGAGTCAGTGAGTGGGAGCCAGTGTGTGGGAGTCAGTGCGTGGGAGTCAGTGCGTGAGAGTCAGTGCGTGGGCGCCAGTGAGTGGGAGTCAGTGCGTGGGAGCCAGTGCGTGAGAGCCAGTGC